TTTTTTTTCTCTGTTTGTTTTATTGTAAGATAAGGTAGGTTTACAGAACCTGATTTTCAGTTAATTATCTTGTACCTCTTTCCAGTAGCAGAGCACTATTTTTCTTTTTATAGTTTTATTTTCAGTTGTTCAGTTGAGAGAATATCCTGTAACTTACTGCAGTTTGGGGAAAAACATTTGTTAAGTTTATTCATTTCTTTTATTGTGCATCAAAGAAAAGCTAATTTTTGTTTTTATGATCTTAGTTACTGAGAGAAAATCGAAATTGGCAAAAATCAGTGTCAGCAGGTTGCAGAAATTGTAATTGTTTTGGTCGATTCCAATCTGTATTCTGGAGGAAACCAAAATCAACACCCAGTGCAGTTGATTTTCAAAATAATAAATATAAAATAAAAATAAACTGCCAGTGATAGCTTTCTCAGTGTTATTATCTCTGATACAAAATAACCTGTAGCAGTTTCTTTTCTTTGTGTGTCCACCTTTCTGGGTTGTCTATCTACACTGCATTAATGTCGGGGATGTTTTCTGCTGCATAACAGGTTAATCTGTTAACACATCCTAATTTGTAAGTGGTAATTTCAGGGAGCATCTTTGAAGACTTCTCTCCCCTGCACTGCGTTACCACCTAATAATGAGAAGAAATCCTAACATCAGGATCAGTGACTAAGCAGAAAGTCGTGCTGTGTAATAGAGGGGTCTCTAGTGATGTTTGAAACTAAGATGTGTAATCTCAGTTCCTAACAAGGAACTGAGTTATCAATACAGAGGTGTATTGATCCTTCTGTGGATGTGTTTTTTTAACAGCAGGGTTTTTTTTATTAGTTATTTATTTATTTTTAATGTGTTTTAGAAAAGTGAAAAGTTGCTGCACGACAATTTTTCTTACTCCAGCTGTCATGATCTGTTTTTACTTTTTTTTTTGCAGAACAAAGGGGAGAGAAACCCTTTGTTCAATAGTAGAAAGATACAATGCTGAAATAGCATTACAACAGTTTCTTCTCTTCTAAATAGAAGTCATTCCTTTTCTAATTGGGCTTGAGGCCTTTAGAGAATTTGGAGGGTTTAGCTGAGCGTGTCCTTTTGATTGTGCAGTGGTAGCTCTCATTTAAATTCTCATGAATTTTTCTCACATCAGACCGGCACTGTAGTACAGAAATTTAAGCCTCTTTATTTTTTTTGTAGTTAAAGCAGAATAGGTGAGGGTTTTACTTTCAAATTGAATATTTCTGATTCAGTTGAACTGATTTCAGGATCATTTCTTTTACAAGGACAGGCTATTTAATTTCTTTTAGCTCTTACTTCTAAGAATAAAGAAAGGCAGACGGCAGTAAATGACTATGCAACGGCTTCATTTGTATGACCTTAGATTGCTTTTGTTGTTGAGTGGAAGGAGGAAAAGCGAAGCTTCCTCCACAGGAATGAAGAACAACAGGTTGAACGTGGAAACACCCTGGCACCTTTTAGTTTTTATTCCTGATGTATACTTGTTTCCCGACATCTTTGTTTCTTACCCTCAATCATTCTGCGGTATCACTGGATTTTCTTTAGTGCCGAATCACATGCTATCTCCCTTTCTACCCAGTGCTCATATTCTGTTTGTTTCCCCGTCCCCTTCTAGTTGTTTCCTGAGTGGAATTTTTAAAGCCAAGGCTGAGTCAGTAGAGATCCATGGGTTGGCCCTTCTCTACAAAGAGGACATATGAAAAGAGAAAAACATTTCCAGGGTTTCTTCCAGAGTGTATGTCTCACTGTGACTTTTTTAATTGTCTGGTTATATTCACCTTGGGCTAGGAAAAGCATAGGCTATAGCTCACGTACTCAACACACACACCGTCCTCAGGAGAGCTTAATTATTTCAGAGAATTGTCTATATTTTTTGAATGAATATAAAGTTGATGGGTGTGTGCAAGAGCATGGCTGTAATGAAAATGATTCACCATAATAAGTCAACAGCAGTGAAAAGAAATGGAGTAGAGTCCCAAATGTAGAGGGCCAACTTATGTCATGAGTTGAATTAATATCAAATAAACCCTAGATATTCAACATGCTGCACTCAGGAAACCTAATAAATCACTGATAGCTGTAGCAGTTTAAAAAAAAAAACCCCACACACTAATACAACACAACAGAAGTACGTTATTGTCTGACTAATGGCAACATCCGCACACATTACACTATGAGGGCTCTATACTAATGAAAAAGTCTCTTTTATCTGGGATTCTGTGAGTAATCCACAGTAGACAAAAGCATGGTGAAGGTAGCTGTACTCAGCACATGAAACCCACAAAATATGAATGATGAAAGGTTTTAAAATCTATCCAGTGAATTCAAAGGCCCCGGGTGACAATATTCTTTAATAAGACGTGTGGAAAATGAGGGTAGCGGTGTATTCTGTTGCATAGTATCATGAAGCATGTGCATCAGAGAGCACAGCCCTGACCTTGATAGGAGTGTAAATGGAGACATGTCTGTTTATTTATTTGTATTCCCATTAGTTTCCTGCACAGCAGGAGCCACTCTGTTTGGTGTCCACAATTTTAATCTAAATGTTGTCATTTCGTACACAACAAGCCAAGAAGCAGCAGAAATCTTTGCAGCTTTACATTTATACTGTTAATAGGGGTGGGGGGAAAAATCGATACTGTGTAGTATCCGGATATTTTGTTTGCTAATAATGTATCGATACAGGGACAGCAGAAATCGATATTTTGTTACAAAAAAGTTTTTGTGGACTGGAACATGCTCTGACTTCACAGCATGTTGATCCTTTTTCTGAGCAAGAATCTTAAAACTTTTTTATTTAATGTAAAATTATATTTTGTTTTAATTTACTTTCAAATTCTTCAGTTGCTGAAGGGGCTGCATAGTTTTCATAAATTGCATAGTTCAGAATAGCTATAATTGTACCAGATGGTTGCATTCAGTTAAGTTGGACTAGACTGTAATACAAACAGTTCAGTTTGTCAACAATAAAACTGACTGAAATAAGAGAAAGACTGAGTGTGAGACTTTGATATTAGATAAAATTAATATTGATAAAGTTTACCTTTATGGACAGAATCTGAATATCGCAAAATATTTAAAAAAAAAATTGCAATAATATCGTATCGTGCGTTAAGTATTGTGATAATATCGTATCGTGGGATGTATGGTGATTCCCACCTCTAACTGTTAACTAAGGCATGTTTGTAGGCATTTCTTAAAAAGTGGAGATTTTAGCTATAATTCCTTTATTATGTGAGGCAGTTGCTCTGAAAGTATGTGGATTTTACTTTTTGCTGTTTGGTTGAGGAATTATTAAATTGAGTAATTAATAGGGGGTTTCCTGCTGGTCAGAAAATAAGGGTTAGGGTTAGGTGTGTAATTTGCTTGGTCATCTTTGTCTCCAGCTTCCCTTGGCTGTGTTGAAAGTACCTTACTCTTCTGAAAGGCCTCCGAGTCCAAATCTGTGTTTTTTCTGGCCATATGTAAAAACAAACTAATTTTTTCAAGGGTTTTTGGTTTATGAATTGAGTAAAATTCCTATACCTCCTACTGTAGCGTAAAATTATGTCTTGGCCTATGCTTCATTGCACTGTTGCGTCTCAGTTTGACATCAAGATTCTTGTTTGTGCTATCAATAATGGTTTGCAAATTAAATGTGAAGGATTGGCAAATTAAATAATGCTCGACACAATGTTTGTTTTCTCTTCCTTCGAGCTCTCTATTAAGAGCCGTGCCAGTCGATGGTGATTGTTATCTGACAATGCCGTATGTCTTAGTTAACTCCTGCAGTAGTGCTCTGCAACAAAGGAAACTAATACACATCTGTGTCACTTTTCCAGCGCTAAAGAGGTGTAAAAAGTGATTTTCTAAACATAATCTCGTTCCTTACTATACCTCTGCATAATATATCTGTCACATTTTCTGTGAAAAATAACAATATGAAGAGATTTTTTTAGGATATAATATTCACATCTGTAATTACAGTGTGGCTTTAAATCTCTGTTTTGTGGGAGATCTAATTTATGTGTCAGTTGCTGCAGAATATTGCCACAGGATATGCCACACAAATTGTAATGCATTATTATCAAACTGAAAGACTGCTTACTTAATGATGGGCAATCTTTAGCATAAAATGCTCTATTTTTTGTTTTTTAAATTTCCCCATAATGGTGCATTTTTTTTATTTTGCTGTGTCTGTTTTGAATAGTTGGTCTGCACTCAGTGTACTCATAGAAAGCATTAACAACATGTCCTAATTAACTTTTAGCTTAGCTATGCAAGGGTTCATATTTGCATACTCTACATGGCCCAAGTTGCTGAGTAGTGCTTTGTTCTTGTTAATTAAATGATATAAAACCTTCCAGCTACACCCCCCCCCCCCCCCCCCACACACAGAGAAACCAAAATTTCAAAAACACAAGCAGATTATGCCTTACATTAAAGGGGGGAATGCCAAGGCCTTCCTTGGCCAGGCGAGAGATATAATCTCTCCGGCGTGTCCTGGGTCTGCCCTAGGGCCTCCTCCCGGTGGGACATGACCAGAACACCTCACCCAGGAGGCGCCCAGGAGGCATCTTTGTCAGATGCCCGTACCACCTCAACTGGCTCCTTTCGATGTGGAGGAGCAGAGCCTCTACTATGAGCCCCTCTTGTATAGCCGAACTCCTCACACTATCTCTAAGGGAGAGGCCAGCCACCCTTCGGAGGAAGCTCATTTCCACTGCTTGTATCTGTGATCTCATTCTTTCGGTCACTACACACAGCCTGTGATCATAGGTGAGGGTAGGGACTTAGCTCGACTGGTAAATTGAGAGCTTCGCTTTTACACTCAGCTCTCTCTTTACCACGATGGACTGATACAGCGTCCGAATCACAGCAGCCATAGCACCAATCCGTCGTCGATCTCCCGCTCCCTTCTCCTGTCACTCATAAACAAGACCCTGAGGTGCTTAACCCCCCACCCCCACCCCCCCACCCCAAAAGCATGCAAAATAACATCATTAAAGTGAAATATACACTCACCGGCCACTTTATTTGATGTACCTTGTTAGTACTTGGTTGGCCCCACTTTTACTTTCAGCATTTCTTTAATTCCATATGACATAGATTCAACAAGGTGCTGGAAACACCTTTATAACAGTGTGGTCATAAAGGTATGGACACGGTCAACAACGATACTCAGGTAGGCGGTGGGGTTTAAACAATGCACAGTTACTACTAAGGGGTCCAAAGTGTGCAAAGAAAACATCCCCTGCACCACACAAAGCAGGGTGCTTTAATTTGTTTGCACACAATTTTGACCCCACCATCTGAATGTCATAGCAGAAATCAAGACTCAGTGCTTATCCAGTCACTCATATTGTCTAATTTTTGGAATTTTAATCCTATTTAATCCTATTGTAGCCTCAGCCTCAGCTCTCTCTTCACCACGACAGAGCGATAGTTCTTAGCTGACCGGAGTGGCACCTGGTGTGATTTTCTGCTGCTGTAGCCCATCTTTGTCAAGGTTTGATAGCTTGTCTGGCACCAACAACAATGCCACCTTCAAAGTGAAAGAAATTACCTTTCTTTCTTATTCTAATGCTCAGTTTGAACTTAGGTAAGCTGTCTTGATAATGTGCACATGTCCAAATGCATTGAGTTGCTGCCATGTGATTGGATAATTAGATTGTTAATTTGCATTAATGAGCAGCTGAACAGGTGTACCAAATAAAGTGGCCAGTGAGTGTACACAATTTAGTGAACACAATTAGTAAAAAGCATTAAAATGTGCCTGTGTTTGTATGTGTGTGTGTGTGTGTGTGTGTGTGCAGTCTTTGCAGCGTGTGTTTGCATGCACGTGTAAACATAATGAATAGACTGACAAACAAAATCTCTGGAAACCAGTTTGTCTTGCAGAACCATGAGATCCATTACACCTGCCAGTGCCGCACCTTATTTATGCTCTATTATCCAAGGTGTGACTGCTTCTCGAAAGAACACACAGCAAATACTCACTATTTGTTTTGCTTTGATTTTCTTGGCTGTATGATAGTGTCTTGTTACTTTTCTTTTGAGGGTGCGCCACTGTCAGTCTGTTATATCTGGTTTTTCAGGAACATCAATTTCTTTTCTTTTTTTCACAAAGTGTCTCATAGGTTAGTGATTTGACTGTAATATACAACAGTATATAGCTTCTCAGACCTATACTCAGAAATCTCTTCAGTGCACACATAAAGAAGGTGTGCAACCAAAATCTTTACCACCATGATCCACCATTCAAGGGTGGTTGGTCTTTACTGTGTTATGAAAAACCCGTCATTTACTGTCTCCAGTTGTTTCATCTGTTATTCTTTAATGTGTTTTAGCAGTGAATTTGAAATGTGATAAAACTGTGCTTAACAGGGCAGACTGTAGGCTCTAGAAATTATTAATGGCAACTACCCAATTTTAATATTGCACAATTTTCCACAATCTGTTGCTATCAGCACAGCTGCACTTCTTACCATCTGCCACCTTAACACGTTTTTGTTTATTTAATTCTAAAGTAGGGGTGTGTGATATGATTTTGGAATGATTGGGACTGAATTCAGGACATCGTGACAACTTTCCTGGTAAAGCAGATCAATCATACCTTTTACTGCATCACAGAAACACAGAACATAAACCAGCAATGTGTTATCAGAGTATTAATACAAAACTATTTCATAATTTTCTTTCTAGACTAAAGCTTGTTAAAAGAAAAGAGCAAGGTTGTATTGTGAAATAGGACCAGGAAGCGTTCAGCAACTATGAAAAGGTAGTTGTGTAAGAGAAGTAGAAGAGCGAGGTGAAAAGTAGTAAGTGCTTATCATAACAAAAATAAGCAACCTTTTGTGCTGTGATGGCTCTACGGAAGAAAAATGCGTCAGGTAGTAAATTATGTCATCATTGGGAAGTGGCTAATGTTGCATGAATTGTGCAGCTAAATTAATAGATAGTCTTAGAGGAATGAACAACAGCATTTTATAGATAGTTCTGTGATAGAGTGCAATGTGATCGAACTGTTTGCATGCAAGTTCTCGTTTCAAACACTTTGCTGTGTTAAGTGACACATGCAAATAATAGTCTACTTCCTCTTTAGGGTCAGTTTTCTGGTTAGCGAAGATTATGCCAGTTGGTGCACTTCTTCATTTTCTACGAGAGGAAAAAAAGAGAGAGAGATGCAATAATTTCTCTGTAGTTTCGTTTTAGAAATGTTTGCTACAATTCTAATAATTTTTTTACATTTTTTAGCTAAGGTTTTGTTTTCCCTATGCCGTTTCTTTTTGATGTTTCTGATGAAGGCAAAGGAAAAAGTAAAGCTCAAAGTTTTGCAGTGAAAAATATCTGTCTTATGATACGTTCTCCCCCTGTGATCGCTTTAAGCCAAGCAGAACATTGCCCTTAAGTGCCGTTGTAGTGACTGTAACCAGACTTTAAACTTGTGTCTTCTCAGGTGCTGAACCCTGCCTGCTCAAACACCGTGACTCCAAACTGACAGACAGGGGAAAAAGTGGACAGATAAACCAATAGGAGGCCAAAGGAGGGTGAGTGAGTAGTCTGTATACTGTACCTCTGTAGGCTGTCTTGAACTCTGTTTCACACTGTAGTTTAAAGTGTTGCTACTGCTATAGTTGGGTGGCTCAGTGTTGACAGTTTAGACCAGTAATTCTGAAAGCAAGACAAGCCCTGTAGCAAAGAGACTGATGCACTGAGCCCCCTGAGGCCAAAACTAAGTCTGTTCGTGTTTTCTGTTACCCTTCTCAAGATTAGTGCTTTCATCAGAGGCTGTTCAAAAGAAATGACGGTTTCATACTTAAGTAATATAGACACGGCTTTATTTTGTGCTGAATTTTACCTAGAAAACAATCAAAGAAGGGATTTTTTTTGGCCAAAAGAGGAAAAGAGACAGATGTTCAGCAACGCTTTGGGAACTATTCGGCAAAAAGAATCCCATCATAAATCTGCTAAATAGAAACAGTTCCCCCATCAGCATACAAAAGGTTTTAAAGAGGGGCCGAATTTGCTTGTGAGTGAACAGATGGAATCCGGTCAAATTCAAGATTTACATCTTAATTGGAATTTTTGTACCTTGTGTGTGTGTGTGTGTGTGTGTGTGTGTGTGTGTGTGTGTGTGTGTGTGTGTGCACGCGCGCACACGCAAGTCTGATTTTGATTTATGGGTACACATAAACGGGTATCACACATTTATGTGTTTTTCCACTTCCCTATAATACATGTATTTTTGCTAGCTTGTACAATATGTTCCCCCAGTTAACAGTCTGTGTACCTACTATGTTGTTAAAACATCTGCTTACTCATCAATGCAATTTATTGATGGGTTGACAGATGTATTTGTTGGCCAACTGTTTACATAATTGACTGACAAAATAAAATTACTAGCAATATGAATTTGCTGCTTTCTTTTTCTTTTCTTTGTTTGTTTGCTTTTTAACCTTCAAACCTGTATACATATACCTGAAGATCTGCTCCTCTGTCTCTGTGTATATCTCATACACTCCTAACCGTCTGTAGAAGTTTTTGTACATTACAACTTATCCTGATATTATCTGAGAAAAATGAGTGCCTCATCTTCATTTGTGGTTTCATTTTCATTGTGGTCTCACACTGACAATGAATTTAAGTTAGACATATTTACTGATCACAGTGGATCAGGGGCTGCGGTCCTAGTGGTTGCCGGGTTCACTCTGCTTTGGTAAACTGCCTACTTATGTATGTAAAGTAGCTTTTATGCAGTTCACCCAGCGGTCTTCCCCACTATCATCTCAGTGGGACTGTTTTGGGGTCTGCGTGTGTGTGTTTATGTGTAAATAATTGATTGCTATAGAGGTTTTAGTGGATTGCTGGTGAGACTGAACCAGGCAAAAGAAAAACACGCTTGACTGCTTTCCTTCACAGTGTGAGTAACATAACTTTACCATGTGTGCTTGCTCGCTGGGATGTTGAGTTGGGGAGCTTGTCAGTGTTCCGTGAGTAGATTTAGTTTGTGTTAATGGTGCTGCAGACATTAGTCCTTAAATCACAAATTAACATCATTTTTGAGCCACACTAAGATGCCACACATACTGTTAGAACCCAACCAATATATTTGATATATTGACTAATATTTGCTATTTGCCAATATCTTCTTATCAACATTTAAATGAAAATATAAAAAGTAAAGACAAGATAGAAGAAAGACCCTTTGACCAAGTGTAGATGTTGCATAGTTTGTCCACACTCTGCAACTTCCCTGTCGAAAAAGACACCACGACCAGCTGATGTAAGCAGGCGTGGAGTATAAACAATTAATTCACGACTTGTTATGACAAAAAAACAAGATTATTTTTAAGCTGATTTGTAATATTATCTTGGTAAAGATTCTTAAAAAACTAAACGTAACACATGTTTATCTGTCGGGTTTTCATGAGAATGAAAATATCGGTCATTATATTGGACTTCGCTATCTTTGGGATTTGTTTTCGTTTTAGGTTTTTGAGTTTAAAGCTATAAGATGATTTAGAATAAATTATGAATAAACCTAAGCATGAACTGTAATAACCAATAAATTAATTGGTTATACATACACAAAGACAATCAAGCATGCTGCCATGTTCATCCCAAATAATCAGACCTTCTTTCTTTAGACTTTTTTTAGCCTGCTGCTTACAACATTCAGTCATTTTTTCCATTTTATATCTCAGCATCAGGGATAGCTGTGGATAGTCATGTTGTCCACAGCTGTCACAAGTCAGACTCAAGGTCAATATAGCATATTGAGGATTTTCAAAAATTTGTTTGTTTTTTTGACTAAAGGGGTAAAAAATAATTTGTTTGTTATTTTCTTTGTTTGTTTTTGCTTTTTAATGTAAACATCAATGTCACTATGACCTTGTAACATTTTGCTGAAAGCAATATCTCAGGAACATGTAGATGAAATTTTATTCTGTTTGCGCACAAACAGTAAACCTAATTTGCTGGTCAAAGGTGAAGACCACGGTTATCTGAATACATATATTATATGAGTAAACGTAAACTGCAGTTTCACTGGTTGGCAGAGGTATACCACAAGGCAGAGAGTTTAGTCTCTGCTTCTTTCTTTATCTTTCTCAGTCTTTTACCAAGGGTCTTTCTCCTATGCTGGCTTGTTCTTCTTTGCCATCCCTTCTTTCTTTCTTTCTTGCCCCTTAGCCGCAGTGTCCTTGAGAAAGCAGTGACTTTGCCGGTGAGTGTAGCAGAGCGCATCACTCTCTCTCTTTCTCTCTCTCTTAGACTCTCTCTCTCTGACTCTAACTCAACACCCTTGCACACAAACGCACCGACACACACAAACATTTGGTGGGTCCATAACACAACTGTTAAGCAGGACCACACTGTAAAAGTCTCTTCCCTTTATACCCCATGAATAATTCATCATCACTAACATTGGCTATATGGCTTTATGCAAATATCGACAAACCTATTGCAGAGGAAAAACGGAGACAGTTTTGTTTTGTATCGAGCCAACCTTTTGCCAATTTACTTCTCTTTCAGGAAAAGATAGTAAATGATCAGCAAACTGCTGATACAACCAAAAGTTGTCATTTGCAGTCAACAGTAATATAAAATGTTGTGATGATGATCAGTAACTGAGCTACTGTTGAATTCGCTTGGTTTCATAATATGACGCTTTACAAAATTGGATTTATTGCTGAAGTTCAATTACTCTTTCTGATGGTTTGTTACCGAATTCTGACAAATTGCCCTCAGTAGATACTGGAGTTTGGCTGCCAGCGTGGAAACACGATGCCTCTGTGCCCTCCCCCTCATTAAAACTGCCCTCCACTAATCTTGGATCATGACAGCCCATTGTTACAGTTTTCCGTAGCTCTTAAAATATGGATGGGGTCTGATTGTCTGCTTGTAAGATGAGATGTGATAGACTCTTGTTGCTGTTTGTTCTCGCTCTCTGTTTTCCATTTGTATTGGGTCACCGCTTTTTCCTGCCGCCTTGCGTGTTTTCTGTAGGGGATCGTGTATCTTGTGGATAAGTAGCTGCAGTCCTATATATGGAACATGAGATTTTCAACTTTATCTGCAATGTTTATTTATCCAATATTTGAGAGTCTGATTTAAATAATATTTACTGCAGTGTAATTTGCATATAGTCTGATTCTTCCTAGCAACATTACATATAGGTTCATTTGAGTAGCTCATGATAGTATCTCATTGCCGCCATGTTATCATTCATTCACTCCTTGTCTACGTGTGTCTTGTTCACACTTCCTTATGTCACACATACGGCTGAAAATGCTTCCGTAGCCATGGTGAGCAATCCCAATGGGAAAAGTTGAGCCTGAATCGCTTTCTCACTCTCTTTCCTTCCTTTGTCTAATGCCTTGGTGCAGTTTAATGCTTTCCCCACATGCGCACACTTGCACACAGATGAGCAGGTCTGAATCTAAAAGCAGAGAAGATGCAGATTTTTGGTCACATGTTGTTTTAATTCATTTGACCAAGAAGTTGTTAAAAAAAAAACAACAGACAGAGCGTGAGGATGGTTTTCTCTGCTGCCTGCTTTGCTTCTTGTTAGCGACCATGACCGTGGTGGCTGGACATTTGGCTGTGAAATACTTGCGCAAGAGTCTGCTTGAGAAAAAGGCTCTTCAACAAAGCGCATTGGACAGATAAACACCTTCACCTGTTGGACCAGCAGGATGTCAGTCTTCTAACTTTATAAATTGTAAAACAGCAGCAGTGCAGCAAAACGACACATTTAAGTTCAAGTGACAAAGCCCTCTAGCAGCAAAAGTAGCCATGACAGAAGGAAAGAAGGAAGTCAGAGTTGTCACAATACTACAGTTTCAAACTCGATACCGACACCCAGGAAAATACTCGGATCTTGATACCATTTTTGCGACAAAAAACAACAAAATCAAGAGGCATGTAAATGTATTCACATATAGCCCTGTTTATTTCCAGTGCTTCTGGTGATTTAGAACCGTATTTGTGGTGTTGATAAACTAGAGTTGTTAAGCTCGGCTGCCACTCTTTCAGTATAGTGCTGTTAGACTTTTCTCACCTTCAAGGGGATTTTTTTTAGGCGCACATGCAAAAAAAACATGTTATCTTGTAAAATTAGCACCGTCTGTTAATGTTACAGACAGCCAGGACTGGCAATGTTTGCTGCCTAGCTCCGACACTAACATTATTCATTACTGTTTTATTGTTAGTCACAGCTACTAGATCAGGGATGTCAAATATTACGTCCAGGGGCCAGAATCGACCCGGCAAAGACTCCAATCTGGCTTGCTGGAAGGCTTTGGAAAATGTGGGAAGAAGAACTCTATTTTTGGACTTTTAACTTCATTTTCACAAGTTTTGGAGCTTTTCCTTCACCAAAGTAATTAAATTATAGATAAATCTGTAATTCTCCACATTACTTCTTGCAATTTAAGCCCAAAGTCATCCTGACAGACTTCTTTAATTTACTACAGCAGCATTTCTTTATCTCTGCGTTATATTAAGATATCTCATTGATTAAATGCACAGTTAAACTTTTTACACT